AAAGAGAAAGAGGTGCTCTGTGGGATAGCTGCCCAGAGTGCACACTTCGAATAGCGCTGCAAGTGTGAACATGCTAGTGTGCAGGAAACTGTCAGTGTGAACACACAAGAGCGGTTTTCCTTCGGCGTTCTCTGAGTGGTGCTGTAACTGCCAGTGCTGTAACTTTGCAAGTGTAGACTTGCCCTAATAGTTGTAAAATTACATTGGTTGGCATTATATTTTAGGCTGTCTTGCTCCGAAAGCTGCCTCCCAGTGTTGCACTGGCTGAGGACAAAGAATTACTGTTTTCACATTGAACCCAAATCATAGCTGCTGACTCCATGGGTGCTTCGGGGCTGGAGAACCCATGGGGAAAAATTAGTGAGTGCTCTGCACCCACTGGCAGCCAAGCTCTCCCTGCCTGCTCTTCCCCGCCTTCTCCTCCCCTGAACGCGCCGCATCCCCGCTCCTCCCCCTCCCTCCCAACACTTCCCGCCAGCTGCCAAATAGCTGTTTCATGGTACTTAGGATGCTCCGGGAGGGAGGGGGAGGAGCGAGGATGCAGCACGCTTTGGGGAAGAGGCAGGGCAGGGGTGGGGACTTGGGGAATGAGGTGGAATGGGGGTGGGATAGGGACGGAGCAGGGGCGGAAAGGGGTTGGGCCAGGGGCGGAGTGGGGTCGAGCACCCACTGGGCCGAGAAGAAGTCAGCACCTATGACCCAAATATTATTTGTGGGATGATACTCAGTTTGTGTAGTTAATCTCCAGTGATTCAACACAGATCAGGCCATTCTGTCACCAAACTCTTCTACAATTAGAATAATAAAATAGAACCATAGAACTGGAAGGGACCTTGAGAGGTCATCTACTCTCGTCCCCTGCACTCATGGCAGCTGCAGGACTAAGTATTATCTATTCTAGAATGTGTGATCAGCAGCTCTGACATGAGGTTTAAGCTAGGGTTACCATATTCAAACATTTAAAAAAAGAGGACACTCCATGGGGCCCCGGTCCCGCCCCTGGCCCTGCCCCAACTCCGCCCCTTCCCCGCCCCGGCCCCGCCCCAACCCGACCCCTTCTCCGCCCCC